CACACTCCTCTCCCTCCTTCCTGCAGGCCTCCAACAACGACTCAAACCAACACAACCCTTTTGCATCCATCACCGGAAGACCGGCATCTCGTGCGTGCGCATCAGCGTATGTACCTATTCCCGTCCTTTAATTTGCAACTAGCTTGTACAAGTAAGAGCTCCTCTAGGACGTGATACTTTTGATTGGTGACAGCAAATCAATACAAGCATATATCTATGAATGATTGTATTTCCTTTGGTTCCTGGATCGATGCAGGTTGTCCATCCCTGCATCAGAGGATGTTTGTGGCCCTAGCCACGGCACAATGGGTGGTGACCAAGGCACTAGGCCCCGTTGCGGATGGCGTGCTAGGGGCTTGGGCGGCCACCAGGAACTTTGGTCCCAACATCGAGGCCCTCAGCACGGAACTGTTGCTAGTAAAGGCCACGCTCGAGCAGGCTGCCCTCAAGGAGCTTAGTGGGCCAGCCATGGAGATGCTGCTGCAGAAGCTACAGGATTTGGCGCACAATGCTGAAGACTTGCTGGATGAGTTGGACTACTTCCGCATCCACTGCAAGCTCCACAAGACGTACGATGCAGCAGACCAGCATGGCAAAGGTGGCGTCCATGACCTCGCACTCAATGTCCACCACACCGCCAAAGCTGTTGGCAAATCAGCCAACTGCTGCCCTTGGCAGCGTGCTAAGCGAAAACAGAGGACATGCGGCGATTCCTTTTCGGCCCCAAACACCAATCAGAAGCTCAGCAGATGCATGCCCAAGCTCGGTATACTCCTCCCTTGCTCCTCTTCTCCACATACACATGTTGGAGATGATGATCATGGTAATGCACAAGATATTCCACAACTTGAGTTTAATAGGGTTCATTTCTCTCAAAAGATGAAGGCCATTGTAGAAAAATTGCAGCTTATGCGCAATGAGGTTAACAAGATTCTACAAGGTTGTGGCCCTAGAATTGTCATAGACATTGCCCAGAGTCGTCCCATCACCAGAGCTAAGAGCACAGAGCCAAAACTATACGGGAGGGACGGCGTCATGAATAGCATCATACATGATATCACCAAGGGTCAATATTGTGACAAGGGTCTAACCGTGCTTCCAGTTGTTGGTCCAGGGGGAATGGGGAAAACAACTCTGATACAACATATATATCACAACCAGCAAGTGCAGAATCATTTTTCAGTCAAGATTTGGATATGTGTGTCATTCAATTTCAATCTGGATAAGGTGCTGGAACAGGTTCAAAGATATACCCCTGCAGTTGAAAGTGAAAAACAGTGTAGTACAACTGAAGAGCTGATTGAACAAAGATTAAAATCTAAAGGTTCTTACTTGTACTGGATGATATATGGCAGATTAGTAATGGAGATGACTGGAAAAAACTATTGTTGACACTTGGTCAATCACAAGAAAAGGGTTCTATGATTCTGGTCACAACTCGGCTTAAAAACATAGCAGAACAAGTCAAAACAATTGACCGTCCAAAAGAACTTTACGGTTTAGAACATGAAGAGTTTAAGAAGTTATTCCTTGCATTTGTCTTTGATGATGGGAAATATCCTAGGAATAAACCTTTTTTGCTTGAGATTGGAGATCAGATAATGGACAAACTAAAGGGTTCCCCTCTTGCAGCAAAAACTGTTGGTAGATTACTGAGTAAAGAACTTAGTTTGCAACATTGGAAAGGGGTCCTAAAATGTAAAGAATGGGAGAAGCAGACCGATAACAATGAGGTTATGCCTGCCCTGAAGCTTAGCTACGACTTTCTCCCTTTTCATCTACAACAATGTTTTTCCTATTCTGCATTGTTTCCTGAAGATTACCATTTCAGAAGCCATGAGCTCATCAGCCTGTGGACTGGACTAGATATTTTGATACCTTGTGGTCAACATCAAACATTTGAAGACGTGGGTCTGAGTAATTTAAATGAGTTGATCATCCATGGATTTTTCAGAGAAGAGCAAACTGATGGTGATCGGCGGTATGTTATGCATGACCTACTGCATGATTTGGCACTGAAAGTTGCTTCTCATGATTGCCTTAGTTTACGTCTCCCTAATATTGGATCCGTAGAAATTCAGCCATCGACCCGTCACTTGTCTATAATCACAGAGGACATAGGTGAATCTGATGCAACGTCTGGTGAAAAATTAAAGAGTGCATTGGAGGAAATGAAGACAATATTGGAGGTTGAACATTTGCAAACATTGATGCTATTTGGAAAAATGGATGAAAGTTTTAGCAAGATATTTGGTGATTGTTTTGGGGAAGCTTATGCTCTCCGTGTTCTTTATTTGCCCAACATGATGCATCCCGTGGAGTCCGTGTTACATAACTTTTCAGGACTTTTCCATCTACGATACCTATGTCTAGGGACAAAGGATGATCAGATGCATTTACCACTTAGCATCTCTAAATTTTATCATTTAGTGATTCTAGATCTTGAGTTGTGGGTTGGCAGTCGTGTTTTGCCCGAAGACATGAGCAACCTTTCCAAATTGTGCCATTTTTATGTTCCAAGTGATGATCAGCTTCATTCGGGTATTTATAATGTGGGAAAACTTAAACTCTTGGAAGAGTTAAAGATGTTTCAAGTCAATAAAAAAAGTGAAGGGTTTGAACCAAAGCAACTAGAGCATTTGACCAAGCTAAGGGAGCTTGGCATCTACAACCTTGAGAAAATACATACAAAAGAAGAAGCAGCTCAAGCAAAATTGATAGAGAGAAAACACTTGAGGAGGTTAAAATTGGACTGGGATTGTGAGCGATCTAGTGTTGAGCCTGGTGTGGAAGCAGAAGTTCTTGAGAACCTTCAACCACATGGAGATCTTCAAGTGTTGTGCATTAGAGGGCACGGAGACCTTTCTTGTCCAACATGGATGGGTGATGAGTTTGCTGTTGAAGCTCTAAGATCTCTTTATCTTGATTGTGTTTCTTGGGAAGTTTTCCCTTCTTTAGGGAAGGCGTGGGATCTTTGTGAACTGAAATTGAAGCATATTGCTAGACTGAAGGAGATTATTATAGAGGAAACCTTTTGCATGCTAATAAAACTTGAACTCATTGGCCTAGGAAGTTTTGAAAAATGGGGTTTCCTAGATGTACAAGAGTCTTCCATGGATGCTGATATTTTCCCTTGTTTGCAAGTGCTGATTATTATAGATTGCCCAAAACTCTTGGGATTGCCTTTCTCAAGCCACATTGTTTCCCAAGGTTGGTTTCACAAACTACAAAAGTTTAGGATAGAGTACTGTCCACAATTCTCATCAGTGATTCCCATCTCCTGGATTGGTAGTCTCTGTAGTTTCTCTATGCAACATGTCAAGCTACTAGAGCATTTTTATAACGGCTCAATATCATCTGAACTGCACATTACTGGAGAGGATGGTCTGCATAGCTTGGACCAAGTGTTAGATTTTGATGAAGAAACAAGTCTTGAAAAGTTGTGACTCCAGAGGTGCCCACCTCTGGAGTTGAAGCACATTCGGATGCTAACCTCGCTAAAGAAACTGATTATAAAAAGTTCATATGATCGGGTTGGATCACTAGGAGGTCAGGGTGATATGAGTTGGCAGCTCCCAGTTTGGTTTCCGAAACTACAAGTGCTTGAGATATGGGACTATCCAGAATTCTCATCAGTGTTTACCATCTCTTGGATTGAAAGTCTGCATTATGTCAGGATACGACGTGTAAAGATGCTAAAATACTTTAGGTACTCAAAATCATACGGAGCAGAACTGGAAATTGAGGGAGAGGGTGATCTGCAAAGCTTAGACCAAGTGTTAGTTTTTGATAAAGAAACAGGTCTTCAGAAGCTGACACTCTACAATTGTCCACCTCTGGAGTTGAAGCACCTTCTGATGCTAACCTCGCTGAAGACATTGATTGTAGGCGATTCAGATTGTCTGGTTGGACCACTAGGATGCCTGGGTGATGTGGAATGGCAGCTTCCTGTTGAGCATATGCTGATCATGGGCTTAAATTGTAATATTGGCGAGGAATTGACAGAGCTCCTCCCCCACCTCCCAAAGCTCTCCAAATTGGACATAAGATATTGTAAAAATATAAAACAATTGGTAGTGGGGGTGGATCTGCAACAAATTACAGAGATGGAAATAAGAGCAGCAGCAGCAGATGAAGATGATGATGGGGTGCTGCTCTTCCCAGCTCATCTCTGTAACTCACTACTGGAATTGGAGTTCTATGACTGCCCAGAGCTGGTCCTGGTGGACCCACCAACTCTTGTTCCTGGAGGAGGATGGCTCCAAGCCTTGCGATCCCTCCAGAGATTGACAATAAATGGTTCCCCCTGGTTTCTTTTCACCTTCTCGTTTTCCCGTCACATTTTCCCTTCCTCCCTGCAGTTCCTGAAGCTTAAGAGCATGGTAGGCATGGGGACACTGAAACCCATCTCAAACCTCTCTTGTCTGATGACATTAGAATTGATTGATTGCGGAGAGGATCTGAAATGTCAAGGTTTGCAGCCTCTCCTTACCACCAGGGGGCATATCAACGAATTACAAGTCTTTGGCAGCCCTGGTTTCTTTGCTGGTTGGGATCCCAATCCAAAACATGATTTGGAGGAGCTCCTTTCTGCACCCACACTGCAGGAGCTCTCCACAGATGACATAGCAGGACTCCTTTCTGCACCCATCTGCAACTTCCTCTCTTCATCCCTCACCAAGCTGGAACTTCATGGGGCAAGAAGACGCCCTTCAGTTCCTCTCCTCCTTCCAGAAAATCCTTTCGCGTTTCATAGGTCTGAAAGCATGGAGCGCTTCAGCAAGGAGCAAGAGAACGCCCTTCAGCTCCTCTCCTCCCTCCAGGAACTTAAGTTTTCGGATCTCCACAAGCTTCAGCAACTCCCTGCAGGGCTGTGCAACCTTACCAGCCTGGAGAAGTTAACAGTCTGCGATTGTTCAGTCATCTCTTCATTGCCTAACGATGGCCTCCCCAAATCACTACAACAGCTAGTTCTCTACTACTGCAGCGAGGAGCTAAAACAGAAGTTCAGGGAGTTAGTTGGGACAATCCCAGAAATCACAATAGGCCGGTGATCCAAGGTAACACGAGCGTACTTTCTTGTGTTTTTCCACTTTGCCCTTTTCCTGTAGTCCTGCTTAATAACACTGCGTTTGTTTCCATCCACTCTGCAGGATAATGCCTTTTAGTGCTCTTCCCTTTCCATACAAACACATTTGCCACATGCATGTCGTTCTACCTTCCTGTACAAAAATCTGGTGAGTACATCTAAACTGAAACTTTACTTCTTCTGATGTACATCATCCTGTACATCTCATCTGGTGAGTACATCAATTATATCCACTTCCACTTATACTCGCTGCAAAAAATATTCCTGCTATATTAGTTGTACATTTTCTTTCCACAAGTCGATAAAATCGACATTATTAACCGCCAATGCCTTCTGCAAGTCTCTCTTGTTTTCGTTCTTGATGTAATTACCAATGAAACCTGTGATCACCATTTGTTTTGGTTCTCTGTGCAGATGTTCGTTCAATCTTATGGGCTTCTTCGTCTTTTCCATTTAAATTTGGGTTACTGTCCTTCATCAAGACGTGGTAGTCTACTTCCCTATTTTGGGTGTCACAATCGAAATATCACCACGGCTTCAGTATGGAATAAATGAGACTTTGGGTCAAGCTACAGATATTAAGGTTATCATTGTTTTCATACACTGCTATGTTGCTATCAGCATCAGATGCTCCTGCGTTCCTAATTTCTGTTTGCTTGCTTTTCAGGTGTTCTAGTGTTTGTTTGGCAGGCTTTGCAGCCACTTCTGTTTACATTTTGTCCAAAACTCATGAAGACCTGATGGTGTACCTGGAATGTTTAGTTTTAGGGAAAACAATGTGTGTTTTGCTATTTATTGATAATAAGGTTTCCAGTTTTTCAATCCAGTTGACATTCTACTGATACCAGGTATACTTTGCAACTAATAAGATTTGCAGTTTTCTCAGTTCAGTCTACATTCTACTGATACCAGATATTCATCCATTCATCATAGCTGTTGCTGTTTATTTTAATGGCATATAGGATCTTCACAGGAAAGCCTGCATACCAATGCAGTGCACCCCTGGTGCCAATTCAGATCATAGGGACCAGTTGCCGACCGAACAGCTCGAGCAACAGAGCTCTGACCGAACCCCCTGGTGTCCAACCCTGCCCGGTTAAGGCCGTGTGCTAGACTGAGCTTTCGTGTTCATGCAGAAGATGATGGAGATGCACGAGACGATCAAACTGCTAGAAGGCTCAAACCAAGTCAGAATGGCGAGCACCGATTCGTTCTAACATGCCAACCCTCCGGCACTTTGCAGCTTGCACCTGGTTCTCTGCTCATCAAATCTTTCCTGTCTACAGGGAGATAGTCATAGCCAGCATTCAGCCGGCAGCGAGTTCAGCAGGAGGATGGCCCAGCCGCTTGTAGATCGGCAGCGGCAGCACCTCCTCTCTGGCTGTACAGTAAGTTGTTACAGCACTTGCGATCTGATTACAGTAAGTCGTATACAGGTAAAGCAATTTGCTCTAATCAGTTGACACTAATTTGCCTCCATGTGGTACCTGCGCATAATGTGGCTCCGTGTCGTGGCTCTCCACGGTGCTGACATGGAAATACAACACTTCTGTTGAGAGGAATGTTATGAAAGCTCAGGATCCAATCGTTGGCCATATATACCGAGATACAGTTTCCAGGTAAGAATCATGTTAAGTTCACAATGGTGCACTGGGGAGTTCAATTGTATCAGTTACAAACAAATAACTAGCCTTTATGTTTCTACAGTATTGATTGAACTGGAACAAGGAAGCAATTGATATATAGCCTGATTGTAAAGGCCATATGTGAAGCTGACAGGAAAGGGACCAAAGTTGCTAGTCTTGGACTCCTGAGTCGGGTATATATTTCTCCAGGTGTCCAAACTATTCTTCATCATCAGTTCTCATGATCGTGATTCGCTCAAAAAGGAAATTTAACCCAGCAAGCCGAGATCGAAACTGCCAAAGAGTTTGGTCTGCTGCAATTCTGCACGGGTTCCGCCACGCCGTTGCTAGAGCTTGATGGTCAGGTTGCAATTCCATGGAGTAAGAGTTATGCAGATATAGATGACACAATTTCCTTGGTGGAGCAATGCTAAGGAAGAAGAAGCAAATCGACACATTCGCTAGACTGGCAGAAGTGTGCACCATGTTTGTAAGAATTAATGGATTTGGGGGCTGTTTTATTCAAATTTCCTCGAGCGTTGTTGCTCGATCACAAAAAACAGAGCTTGATTAGTTTCAAGGATGCAAAGGTTGGCTGGATTCTATATAATTGTTGCATCATCTCAGGAATTAGTGATAGCATTGTTACAGATAGAGCTATGTAAGTGTCCTGCTGAACATGGATGGGATGGGAGTGCTCTTCTCACTTTGATGCCTTTGCGCCAAGTCCAGTTCAGAAAGGCCGTCATGAGCCGTCAAGTTCAATGCTGATGCCATGCGCTTTCAGAGCGGCGAGTGCGGGTTGCCGTGATGCGTGACCAGCTGACCACCATGGCGGTAGTGTATACCATTGCCAAGGGACAGAAGCTTTGTCAGTGTGCAGACGTGGAGAAGAAGCTGCGGAGCCGAGAGCTTTGGTGTCGTGGGTTTGACTAAATTTGGTGGTTCTCTACTATGTTCTCTGAAGACTACTTTTATGTTTGTTAGAGCCATTCGCGACTGTACCAGATGAAGAAGCTTTGATATAGTAGCAGCCTGTGTGCAAGTTGATTGCTATGAACATGCCGTGTTAATTGAATGCATGCTGTTTTCCCTTTACTACTCAAAGAGTATAATTTTATTGCTAGACAGAAAAGATTATAGCCAAGGATTTTGACACATAACTAACACCTAAATTAAAATTTCAAATTCCACAATTGACACTTTATCATATATGAAGCCCCTGGTGGCGTCGCTCAGACCAACTTAAATTGCTGTGATGGCTCCTTTGTTCAGTATTAGTGCATTGCAAAGTATTCTCACACTAGCCGGAAAAATCGTGTCAAGTACTGAAATTTCGTTTCACTTCTGCTGCTTTGCCAGGCCTCGTGCCCACTGTGCCCAAGATATCTGTCTGGCAGGACTGAAACCATCCATTCTTCCTTCACTCATCACAGAGTCGTAATGATCCTGGAATATCTGCACGCCGTTGTTGAGGGCGTTCTTTTGGATCATACCCATCTGGTGGAAGATGTGGCTGCCTCCCTTCATTGCTGGCGTGCTTCTCTAGTCTAGTCCAGTGCTCATGTTCGTGCAGTTCTTGTTACGG